TCAGTACCAATCAGAAATGAGTATGTCAAAGGTAACCAATGATAAACACCTTTTAGGAACATATATGAATACTTATTAGACAATTCAAACACTTTGTGACTGTGGCCGATGATAATAACATTAACATCAATAAAGCAGCAAAGTTTGTAGTTCTAATACAGCCACAGTGCCTGCCAAGAGCATCTGGAGCAACATCCAGAGCTGCACAAGGAAACACCAAATAATTCTATGCTGCAGAAAGACACCTAGCATTTCAACACACACACTGAGACTTAAAATGCTAATAACCCCTGCAACTTTCAAGTAATTGGTTTCAAAACTAAAAAAAAAAAAAAAAAAAGAGCATTTTAAAATAGCATGACCTGATCACCTAAGTTTAAAGCTTTCTAAAACATTTCTACTAGGGTCTAAAATGTACTGTAGCTTCAAGAAGGCTTTTTTTCCGAAGTATGCTACCTTTAATGCTAAAACTGATTTATTCTGCTTTAGTCAATGCTATTTCAAAATGTGAAAAACAATTTGGAATTTTAGAACTGCTCATGATAATAACATGTGAATAATTAACAGCTGACTCTACTGTATTTGGTTTCTTTCTGAATCCCAAATAACATTAATATTATAAGTAATATTTATAAGTAAAGAATAAATAACAATATTTATTGCTTGAGTGTATTTACAGACTACCATGAAGACAGTGGTGGTTTAATAATAGTTAACATTTACAATTACTTTAAATGCAGTCCTGGGCTCTATGCTCTACATGAACAATCTCGTCTTATATAATCATGAAAATAATACAGTAAGGTAAGTATCTTTATTGTAGCCATCTTACAGAAAGAATACCTGAGATTCAGATGAAGTAACATGCCCAGGCAGCTGTCTCTAAAGCCCACTTCCTTACCTTTGTGCCCTCCCTCTTTCTTCCCTGGCCCCTGCCCTTGGGCATGCCCATACGTTCAGACTCCCCACTTGACAGTCCTCTGCCTTCAGGCCGCAACCCCCTTACTCCCCCTCTTTACTAGTATGAGAAACAAAACGTTTAAATTGGTCACCATAGCACCTATTCATTCCAATCTTCCCAAGTTGGATCAGTGATAATCATCAGGGCTCTAACTGCCCCCTTTTTAAATCCTTCACTGGGTCTGGGAATTACCTGTCTGATAATCACAACTGTATCACACAAACATTCAACACTTCAGTCCCATATGAGGTCATGAAGTACACTGGAGGGCCTTGAAGGGTTTTAACAGATGAACACAGTCAAATTTGTGTTTTGGAGAAAGAATGTTCTTTTAATCATGAATAGAGAGACTAGGAGTAAAAAAAGGAAAAAAATTCAAAGGGAAGAACTATACAACTGTGTACAAATGTAGTCGTAAAATACCTCTATCTCTTGGATCCTTGTTCAGCTGATTCTCCCTTTTGATCTTAAGTCTATAAAGGGGCACAGGAGAAAAGTAACGACAGAGTTTTTTTTAAAGCCTACAGTGTGTTGCTGATCTGCTTCATCAAATGCAATCATGTTACTTCCCTGGCTGACTGGTTTACCACACAGAGCCGAGTCCCTTCCCTGACTGGCTGGGCACTTAGAGGTAGCCAAGTCCCCTTTCTAGATAGTCAGTTCACAAGAGGGGTGGAATGGTCTGTCCACGTCACATGCTATTTTGAAAAATTACCTAGCTAACAATTAGAATTTCATAAAGAACACCAGGTAGATAGTTCTACAACACCAAACACGGACATATTTACCACTGAGCAGTTCCAGTTGTTTCTTGCATTGGGGAACACTGCAAAGAGGCAGTATCAGGAAGAGGCAGAGCTTTCATGCATAAAGCAAACACCAACAGGCAGTTTTTGTGACACAGACCAAAATGTTCTATTGAGCAGAGCTGGATGCATATGATATTTCTACAAAACTCAGTGCCAAGCACTCCCTGGCCCATGTGCTCCCTGATGCTCCTTTCCTTTGTGACATATGCGGAAACTCTAAAATGTGTGATTCACTTAAATGAAATGATAGATGCAAAAATCCTCATGGGAAAACGCCAGTTCCCTGTTGTCTACAGCACAGAATCCAAACTGCCTGGCAGAGGATCAGTGCTTCCAGAACCTGACCCTGAGGGCTACTTGTGCATCTTGACTGTTCATGGTTCACATCTAGGCACCAACCATTTCCCTCAATTCCATTAGAGTTCCAGGCAATGGCTCAAGCCTGGAACATCACACTCTAGCAAATACTGCTGGTGGATCAGATCCCAGCTCAATCCCAGCTCAATCCCAGCTGGCCTCCTCCTCACAGCCTGCCCCTAGTGCACAGCAGAACAAGATAACCATTTCTTTCAGCCTCTTCCTTAGCACCTCATGAATAAGTTCATCAAACTGTAATAAGTTCATCTGGTTTGCAACTGTAAGTTCTCCATGTTTCCTTGGAAGCAGGAGACCCATTTCTTTGTGTCCCTAGAAATTTCCTATAATATTAACTAGTAGTTAGAGGATTGCTAATGCCTTCAATAACCACTAACTAGTAGTAGACTACTTCATAAAACTCTTGGAATAAATGTCCATCAAAAGCTCTACCTCCAAACTTCAAGATGCTACAGAAGCCCACCGTTTCAATAGTCTCCAATGCCCCTTTTCTTCTGTTCATTCTTTTTAGTTCCACTTTGGTGGTAAGCATCTCCTGGAACTCTGTGTCCCTTGGCTTCCAGATGGTCACCCCATTTTCCTCACACTAGCTGACAGTGTCAGAACTCTTCCTTGCGCCTCTCTTCTGACAGTGTTTCACATTCATGTTCTGTCCTCGGCCACCTCGTCTTCCTACTGGCTTTTCTTGTGCTCTCCAGAGTGCTGACTGTGAAGAACACCGACCTGGGGAAGGTCAGACATCCCTAGATATTCTGTTCTAATTGTGCTATTTTACATGGATGGCTCATAGACAATTTGATACAATTTAATATCAGTTTTCTCCTTATAGAAGAAGAGTTTGAACTAAATCCCTTTCAGCAATAATATTTTGTATTATTTCTTCAAGAAAATATAAACCAGCAAACAGCTTTCTAAGTTGGAAGAATACAATTCTTAACAGTATATAAATTTAATTGCCAATCTTAATAATATAACAGGATTAAAAAATGTCCAACATACAAAAGCCAGTTTTCTCAATGTGAGGCTTGACTGCCAAACACATTCCTTCATTCATTCTTATCTCGGAACCTTCATTAAATAAGAAGCTAGCTGTTCCTTTTCAGCTAGCTGCAACACGTTCACCTATGGGATAACAGCCAGACGAACCTTCATTAAATAAGAAGCTAGCTGTTCCTTTTCAGCTAGCTGCAACACGTTCACCTATGGGATAACAGCCAGACAGCTGTTCCCGTGAGTCCATGGGAACAGCACGGTGATCATCACCCCAGTGATGCACTGCATCTTTAAAATGTATGGTTATTTAAGGTTTAAAGTCAGAAGAGCTATCAAATGGTTAAATAATTTCACCTCTATGATCCCACACAGAGTTATACAAGATGAAAAGTAATAACAATTCACATGCAGTTTACAATTTCCCAAGCCAAATTTTCTGAATTAGCATTATACTATTATTCAATAATAAGATATACAGGCACATTTCATTCTGTATGCCACCACAACATACTGAATGGAACTAAAAGTCAGAAAGGCAAAACATGCTAAACTGTAACACTAGTCTCACTTTGCAAGTTTAAAAATCATTTAAAAGGTATTAATGTACTTAAATCTTTGCATTTACATTATATTCCAAAAATTTATGACAAAGAACTGCATAGGTTATAAATAGAACCTAGTCTCTTTTTCTTTAAAATACTGTATTCAAAGAAATGTGGTATATAAACACAATGAAATATTACTCAGCCATAAGGAATGAAATTATGGTATTTGCCAGTAAATGGATGGAACTGGAGACTACCATGATAAGTGAAATAAGCCAATCCCCAAAAAACAAAAGCTGAATGTTCTCTCTGATGTACAGATGCTAACCACATAATAAGGTGGGGGCAGAGAAAGAAGTTTATTGGATTAGACAAAGGGGAATTAAGGGAAGGGAGGGGGGACAGGAATAGGAAAGACAGTAGAATGAATCAGACATCACTTTCCTGTGCTCATATATGAATACATCACCAGTGTAACTCCACACCATGCACAACCACAAGAAGGGGAAATTTTAAAAAATAAAATTTAATTTAAAAAAGAATGGGAATGTCAAAATACATTCTGCTGTTATATATAACTAAAAAGAATAAATAAAAAAAGATTTTTGAAAATACTATCTTCAAGGATAGACTAAAATACTGCCTCTTTTAAAGTCTTGATTAGTTTAAGAAGTTCCTGAGAAGTTTCCCAGTTTGCCCACTTCTAAGCCTTCCACATTTACCTAAGATTAGTTACTCTTGGTATCCTGGGAATTTGACTACCTAATAAAGCATATCCGATTTTATAATGTGCTACTACCCTGAAAATATTGTATGTGAGATAACTTTTACATCAAGATGTATTTTAGGATTTTTAGAATCTCATATCAAGCTCTAAAATTGAATGAGATTACCTAAGAAAGCAGTAACACAGTAACACTAACCCTATAGGTTTATCTATTCCAAAGGAATACTCCACTAGAGTAATGCACAGCACAAACATATACAGGATTGATGGAGAACTTTCCCCATAAACATACAAAATGATTCAATGTGCAATATTACTATTATTGCTAAAATGTGGTTTTAATATTATTTATTAAACTTTTTATATTCTATTCAAATGCTTGTTTGATCTTCAGTTCAACATAAATGACATTTACTTCTTTTTTTAATGTTTATTTTTTAGTTGTACACAATACCTTTATTTTGTTTATTTTTTTATGTGGTGCTGAGGATCGAACCCAGGGTCTCGCACTCTTGAGGCAAGCGTTCTACCGCTGAGCCACAATCCCAGCCCAACATTTACTTCTTAATTCCAAAATTCAATTTACTTACCTTTTTCAGGCCAGCAAATCCTTCTGATTCCAGAAAGAAAAATGCAAAGGGCATCAACACAAATAAACAAAGGTTGGAAAAGAGAGACGCAAGATTCCACAAACCTGTAAAGAAGATAACAAAAGAAGAGGAAACTCAGGTTAGATATTGACAGGCCTTTTGAAATTTCACTAAATGGTGATGTTAATCAACATGTATACCTTTTAATACTAAAAGTAAATATAAACTTGAAATAACAAATAATTTAAACTTAGAAATCAGAAAGTAATTGCATATTTGTTAAACTTTAACTTTGTAACTTGTACCTATTGAGAAAGGCCAATATAGAAACTAGTTTCTTTTTTCTAGTGCCCTAAAATAAATTAACTAAAAATATGACATGCAGAGATCCAAAGGCACACGTCTATAGACATGTAGGCACCAGAATATTTAAATTAGAGCCACTAGCATCTACTGAGCACTTAATAAATGCCAGACACTCTGCTAATCATTTTACATGTATAATCCCATTTAATTTAAGCCTCATAAAACCCCAAAAATAATAACTAGCATTGACTGAGGCTGATGTGCCACGCACCATTCTAAGTGATTTGCAGACCTTCTACATGTTCGTCTGCTCTTCACAGCAGTCCCTGAGGCCGGCAGCACTGCTACTCAAAGTGGACAGGGGTGGCCACCTCATTTGCCAAGGCTACAGAGCCTGCAACTGGCAGAGCTGACTCTCTGCCCGGGACTTTAGAACCACTACATCACAGAAGTGCCAGTGAACGACTCCAAGTGGGGAAAAAGAGGTCACAGAAGCAGCAAGCTCATGTGGTGGTTGCCCTTTTGGGGACATTCTGCAGTCCTTTATAATGTCACAACAAAAGGCAGCAACTAAAATAAGAATAGATTTAGAAAGACCTTTAGGTATGTCATTGGCAGAGTGGCTCAGTATCTTCTATTTTTTTTAATAGATAAAACACTAGAATTTTAAATTGAGTCTTAAAATAATGGCTATCACCCTTACAAAAGTTTGTAAAATCAAAGCAAAGATAGAAATTATGCAAATTATGATTTCAGTGTAAATCCAGTGCACCACATGCAGCTGTAATCTGAGGCTTAGAGAAACAAGAGCCTGCGTTCTTTCCGCTCCACTCACGGCAGTGGTCACAGCACTGAGGCACAATGATAAGCCAGCACCTCTGCTCACAAGGCTGCACACATGCTCCAGGGAAGAGGGTGAGCCTCAGCACGTCGTTCCCCAGCCACCCAGTATGAAATTAGTGTGCATGCTCTAGAATTGCTCTGCTCTTTAGCTGGAATAGTGTGGAAGACAATAATTAACTTAGCACTTGCACAGTTTATCTAGATTGATTCACTTTTTTTCTACATAAAGTAACACAATAAAAGCAATTTATAATTTCCTATCCAAAAGTCTGTACAGATTTTTATGAATTTATAATACCCATTTATCTTTGTAAGAAATAAAATGTTTTACGAAAATTTTTAGAAAGCAATGGCTTAATATCTTTTAGTGGAAAAACTAATTTGAACTTTTTAAATTAAAATTGTTCTATACATTCTGATCCTTAAAAAAAAAATTGGGGGGCTGGGGATGTGGCTCAAGCGGTAGCACGCTCGCCTGGCATGCGTGCGGCCCGGGTTCGATTCTCAGCACCACATACAAAGAAAGATGTTGTGTCCGCCAAAAAGAAATAAATATTTAAAAATATTCTCTCTCTCCCCTCTCTCTCTCTAAAAAAAATAAAATAAAATAAAAATAAAAATAAATTTTTAAGCTAAGCTGGGCATAATGGTGCAACCTGTAGTGCCAGCTCCTCGGGAAGAACACTTAGGCTCACAAGTTCAAGACTGGCCTAGGCAACACAGCAAAACACTGTTTCAAAAATAAGAGCCAATCATTTTATTGTGCCAATAACCAGACAAGGGCTACACACACACACATATACACACACACACACTCTCTTCAAAGACTTGGCCCACGTCCTGTCTGCACTTCATGTGACAACCTTGCTGAGGCACAGGTTCTTCATCTATAAAACAAGGCATAATGCCACGTCTGTAGCTGTTAATTATCAGATGAAATAATGCATGTACGAGAACCAGCACAATGTCTATCACAAAATGAGCACTTAGTGACTTAATGCTTTTGTTACCCGTGACTTCAAGAGGCTACTAGTAGCACTATCAGCTCCTCTGCCAACTGCTCTCCCTCAGAGTACCCAGGCTTGCGGTTCACCTCCCGTTCTGCCAGCTACATCCACTGCTCTTATTAACAATCTGCATTTGTCCATCCACATTTTCCCCCTCCCTTATACAAAGAGGTAAACTTCATTAGCACTTTATCTAAAGTAAGAATAAATGGACCTGATTCCAAACTGTGCCCTCCAGGTCCAGTTCATAAACTTTAGAGCATGGTCTCTGACCTCTATTTTAACGGCTCAACAGCATTTTATCTTCTTCAGGGTTTCTAAATAAGTTATTCCAAATACATAAGGTGATAATTAGTATTATGTGAACTATCACATACAAAGTGGGTATTCTTTTGTAGGCTGGAGAACTGTGATTGTTAATGTGTTGCTTTATTCAGTCATGGTACAAAACACAAAGGCTGGTTTTAAATCATTGTAACATTGTTGTAAAAGATAAAACATCTTCATGTCAAAGATTATATTCAATTTACATGAGATAGCTTTAATCCAATTGTATGTCACACAGTCCTTTCAGAAAACTATAGAAGAAAATAACCCACCACCTGTTACAACCTAACAGCAGCCCTGTGCTGGATGTGCCAGGCACTGACTGATGTCTCCTCTCGAGCCAGGTCCTCACTTCACAGTTCATCAAAAAGGTGCCCTGCCCAGAGCAGAGAGAAAGCTGCTCCACTATCTGATTTGCTGACATGATTTTAGGCAAAATAAATTCCATCATTTCCTATAACTCCCAATTCTTTACAGATGTCTACACTTTTATCACTATATGTCTCTAGATCTAAGTTCCAAGAGATACACACCACTTCTCTTCCTCATTTTTGATTCCCATGTGTCCACTCCAGTTCCAAAGAATCAGTTACAGGGAATCACTTGGAAGATACATCCTATACAGCTAACCACTAACAAGGAATCACCCTCTAGGAAAAGCTCACAAACCAAACTAAGGGGATGATCTCAGAATTAACTCTCAATTATCATTGCAAAATCAAAGCACAATGTATGCAAAAAATGAAAGACTAATTTTCTCAACTTTATTTAGCTATAACTAACATAAAATAAACTACACAAGTGCACCTAGGGCTTATAGTTTGTGTCCTGCCCTGAAGGCTCATGTGCAGCAAACTTGGTCTCCAGTGTGGCCAAGTTGAGGCGGCAGAACCTTCAAGGGGTAGAGGCTAGGAGGAGAGGGTCTGCCCTGGAGACAGGATGAATGCTCATCTCACAGGATGCACTCATGTAAGAAATTTCTTGAGGGCAGCTGTTATAAAGACAGCCCACCCTTGGGCTGGGGTTGTGGCTCAGCAGTAGAGCGCCTACCTAGCACTTGCAAGTCCCGAGGCTCGATCCTCAGCACCACATAAAAATAAATAAATAAAGGTATTGTGTCCAGCTACAACTAAAAAACAAATAAGTATTTAAAGAGAGAGAGAGAGAGAGAGAGCGTGCGAGCGTGCCCACCCCATAACTGGGCCCTCTCTGCACACAGCTGGTCCTCTTTCAGCTTCTCTGTGGTGATGCAGCAGTGTTGAGGGTGGGGCTGATCAGGAGAACCATGATCTTGGACCTCAAGAACTGTGAGCCAAATGCTTCTTTACTTTATGAAGTACCAGCAACGGTATTTTGTTGTAACAACATCGAATGGCCTAATATACAGTATATAATTTGATAAGCGCAGGCATAAAAACACACCAGTAACACCAGCACCACTTTTCTATACCTTATGCCACTCTCCTCCCACCCCTATCCCCAGTCAGCCATTGATTTTACACTTTAAAAAACATTTTCTAGAATTTTATGTAAGTGGACCCATGCATTCTGTAGTCATTTTTATCTTCTGCATTCCAGTACAATTATTTTGAGATTTTTTCAACACTGATTTGCTTTAGCATGGGTCAGACCCAATATTTACTGGACTGCAGCCACATGTAAATGGGCACTTAGGCTGTTCCCAATTGGTGGCTGCTACAAATAAAGCTATTATAAACACTCATGCACCTGTCTGTGGCAGATATATGCTTTCGTTTCTTGTGAGTAAATATGAGGCATGGAATAGCTGGATCATGCTGTAGGAATGTAGCTTATATCATGCTGTGGGCATGTAGCTTATATAACCACCACAATGTTTGACATAGTGGCTGCATTTCGCATTCCCACTAGCGAAGTTCAGGTTCACCTACACACCTGCCAAACATGTAAGAGAGTCTTTTTTAGTTGTAGTCCTTTCAACATATGCATGGTGGCATGCCACTGCTGTTTTAATTTGCTTTCCCCTCAAAATGATGTGAACATCTGTTCATGACCTTACTTGCCACTGATGTCTTTTTTTGGTAGAATGTCTCTTCAAGTCTGTTATCCATTTTTAGACCTGGTTGTTTGCTTTCTTATTGCTGAGTTTGATGAGTTCTTTATATACACTGGATACAAGTCCTTTATCAGGTATGGGATTTGCTAGGTATTTTCTCACAAAAGTTTTCCTTTCTTTTGTCTTACAAAGAATAAAATTCATTAAATTTAACAAAGTCAAGTTTATCAAAATTTTCTTTTCTGAATCATGATTTTGATATCCAAGAAATTATGATCTAGTCCAATATCACAAAGACTTTCTTCCATGATTTCTTCTACAATTTTTTTATTTTAGGATTTGTATTTAAGTCCATGATCTTGGGAGTTACTTTTTGTATATGGTGCCATGTATGAACTGAAGTTCATTTTTGCCTGTGATTATTATCCAATTGTTCCACTCTGTTAAAGATTGTTTTTCCACTAAATTATCTTTGTACCTTTTTTAAAGCCAATTGATAATGTATATGTGTATCTATTCTTGGACTCTACAGAGTTGGTCTATTTTTCTTAATGCTGTTATCATGTGATCTTGATTATCATAGACT